CACCGGTAAGAACAAGCTTTCGACCTTCTACCGGATTTGAACGATGCATGAACCGTGTACTAATATCATTGCTTTACTTCTAGTTGTCTAGAGTACTTTTTTGGAAGGTAAAGGCTTGGTGAACTTTGAGCAAAGGCAGTGAACGGGGGCCATTCAGCATCACCGCTCTTCATAAAAGCGATACTCTTCGCCACCGTTTTCCCTGACACGGAATCTGATACTTCTGCCGCTGCTTTGATTTCGTTTTACCCCTGTAAAGACGCAGCTGAAAGACAGAATTATGATGTTAATAAGCCAGGTATGTAAGCAGGCGTTCCGCCTGATCTTTTATTTACCAATGAAACAGACCATGACGGATAAGTACGTAGGACAAGTTCTACAGCTCAACTGCAGCTCGATGCTCAAATCGCTTTTCTGACAAAAAGCCGTTCAGTTTGCTCAATAGATCAATTAGTAGATCAATTGACGGCTTTTAGGGACTGCTGTCGACCGTCGATAAGGTGTCCCAGCGAAATCGTTAATCAGACGACCATTTCTTCTGCTCCTACATTTTTTACTTATCTATAAACCCAGAAACACCCATATGTGATGAAAACAGCCAAGAGACCATGTTATTTAAATTTGTCAACATTTCTCCTCACAAACTGCATGAGGCTTTCAACGCACTCGAAAAATTTTAGAACTCAACTATGAGTGAAATGGAGAAAAGCCTGTCTGAATCAATTCTGGCTTAATTAAATGTAGTTCACTGATTGTGCACAGTAAATAACTCAGTTCTACTCTTGTACCTCAAAACTGAAGTGGATGGCCCCTCCATGCGAATTCGCCTCCATTATAGGTATTGAAAGTGGAACCAAAAATTAACCCATGGTCAGAATGACTTTACTGAAACGAAAGACATTAATTACGCACGCTTAGGCGAAACAGAGGCAACGATTTTAACCTTTTTAGGTACGTAGTTTTCTTCTGAACGGCTAACGGGCAATAAATCAGCAAATGCGTTGCCGGCTGGCTGATTTGTTCAATGTATAGTGTAATTTCGTTTAATTTATTGATTGACTTATGGACAAGCGGCGATAGGGCATGTAGTCAGCTCGGTGTCACCTCTGTCGTTTATACAATGAAGCAGGTTTTTGGAGCACGAAGTTTTTATACAATTTAAATGCTATTTTTTCGCAATCAAATATAGTTAACAGATGTAATTTTCTCTAGAATTCCATTATCTAATACGTTTTCCAATGCGTGACAAAACAGCAGCAAATATGGACCGGACACAATTAGCCAACTGCTGTTTGCTGCTTACTTGCATTGCCAAAGATTTTCAGGGCAATTAACTCTTTGCCATTAAAGGTCAGCGTTCTTCCACCCGTCGATTAATCGTTTATATGCATTGACATGCTGCATGCCCTGCTTTTATCATCAGGATCAGTGAGGATTGGCACTCGCCTTACCCATTGATGATCCTATTTCAAGTCTATCATCGAGTTCCAGTGCTTTCTTACATTTTCCTCCATACCTTGTACCTTCTGCAAATTTTCCCGCAACGCAACTGTCGGATTGTTAATTTTTGCGTTCCCATTCGTTTGGTACAAAGTTAACAAATCTCGGTGGTCGTGGCCGACTCAGCGGTTGGTGACTCGGATATTCCGCTGGTCTAGTTATGGCCCTCAAAATGATTCTATCTATTTTTTCTAAACTCATTTTGACTCATTTATTGTTTTCTAAACAAGTTGGTTCGAATTTCACTATTTTTTCATAAATCAACTTCATTTCAAATTTACTGCGAGTTACTTTCTGCCTAAATAGCTTGATTCAAATTTTCTGCTGAGTCTTGGCTACCTCAAAGTATTCCTTTTGGGATTACATGCGACTTTCTAAAAAGAATCACTATATTGTCTCATATTTGATACACGTGAAGCTGCCAATGCTCCTACAGAAAATACAGAGGCAAATGACCTGTGGGCTTTGGGAAACTTTCATCATTGTTCATGAAGACGATGAAAATATTTTTACCGAAATCCGGAGCCATGGAAGAGCAAAGG